CTATACAACTAATTGCTAGAACAAGTCACCCATATTGGGTTTCTTTGCCCTTATTTTATTTGCAGCAAGATATTGCTTGTTGATTGATCTTTTTTTCCAGACTTGTCTTGACAACAATGTTTTAGGCTTCTTTTAGTGGTGGAGGTAAATAAAAAAGCTAGACTTGCTCCTTTAATTTAGTCTGTTCTCTACATACTGAAGAAGGGAAAACAACATTTTATGTTTCGTGTTCTAACTTCAGACTATACATACATGATGCATACTCGTGTATTTAGATGTAATCTTGATTAATGTGCCTTTTAAAGATTAATTTAATTTTAAACCAACATGAATGCTAGCTTTAAGATCTTTGGCATTTCCAACCACATAAAAAAGAGTAAAATAATATATCCAAATCTAGAACAGAAGACCAATCATGGCAATTGCAAAGATATGGATCCTTCGACTGACATCTTATAGCTATGTGATAGGGTCATGATGTTTTGACTTGTATTAATACTAAATTGATTATTGATTGATAATATATAAGTGAATAAAGGTATGGTGAAGTTAAATTATATGTGCCTTTTAGTGGAGCTGCATATGCAGAAGCTATTATGTGCAGATATACTAGAAAAATTAAATAATATTCCATGTCTTTCCTCTGAATGATAGGGCTGTGTGTTTTGTATCTGCAACAATTCTTCATACCAAGATCATTGGATAAAGTGCTAACGGCTGCGGCATTGAAGGAGATGAATCTCAAAAGCTTGTCTAGTCACAACATTTGTATTTGCAAGTCCTTGAGTTGGATATTTAAAATTTTACAAGTTTTTTCATTTCTCAAAAGGATCTTCAAATATTGGCCAATCACAGGCATGGATTTATCACCCTGTATTCAGATCAATCACATGCCTCTCAAATGCTAAAGAATTTATTTTCTTGTCATAGTTACCTGTTGCAAAATCAGCCTGGCAATTGGTCTATATATATGATATCTGTTAGAATATTTCCTTTTATATGGATCCCTAACTTGTATCTTTTTCCAGCTTTCCTGGAATAGAGGGAACTAAGTGGCATAGATTTCAATACATCAACAAGAGAAAGCAACTCGATTTCAAAGATGTGGTTTGGGTTGCGGGAATTGTAGACCCCCTTTGGCTATGGAAGAAAAAATCTTGTAATTCTATTTCTCCCTGACCAAAGTAGCTTACTTTGTGCTTCAACATCAGTTTGTGCAGTCTCACTGTCAATCTGGGTGATTTGCAGGCTATATTTTGTTATTGGGTTACATCAAATTTGTTGTCACTTGGGTACAGGCTTGGTAAGGCATTATGGTTCTTATATATATATAAGCATTTCTTTACATTTTTTTTGGACATGCATGCTTAATCATTGGTCTAGTAGTAAGGTGGATGGTTCTTTTTTAAATCAGATAATAAGGCATATAGTTAGATTTCATTTTCATGTATAATTAAATTGGACTTGGACTACACTTACTCAATATTTTTTCCAGCATTGATCCATAATGAAAAATGGAGTTCATGGAGTGATACTGTCCAACAAAGCTCTTGGAGGAAGAATAATAAAGGTGTCAATTATTAACTAAACTAAAGTGGAGACAAATATTGAAGAACAATGCGGGAAGACTAATTGCAGGGGATTGTTACTTCAAACACCTTTTTTTGGTACGGGGAAAGAACTTACAAAGTTGTATTCTTGACTTTGTTAGTTTACTAAAAATGTTGTATTCTATGAATTGAAGAGTAAATGTATGTTGTGGATTAAAGAGTATGTGCAAATTATATTAGTGATTGTAATTTTTGTGATTAATAATAGTTTGTGTCATATTAGTATGGACTAATTTTAAATTTGAGCATTTTTAATATTAAAAATAAAAAATTATAAAAACAACTATATATAATAACAATAAAGATTATTTTATTTTACAATTATTTTAAACAAGGGGCAAATAAGATAATTTTTATTTGACCCTTATTTTTAAACAAGGTCAAATAAGGCCACTTCATTTGATGGTTGTTTTAAACAAACATAAAATAAGATTACTTTATTTGACCCTTTATTTAAACAAGGGTCAAATAAGGTCACTTTATTGAAGGTTGTTTTAAACAAATATCAAATAAAACTACTTTATTTACGCCTTTATTTAAACAAGCATAAAGTAAAGTGATTTTAGTTGACGGTTATTTTGAATAACCATCAAGTAAAATCACATTATTTGACAATTATTTTAAAATGACCATCAAGTAAAATCATTTTACTTGACGATTAAAAATCATCAAATAAGTATAAAATGGCACATGATATTTAACGATTAATAACTGTCAAATATGATAAAAATAAGGGTTAAATAAATCTTATTTTTGTAGTAGTGAATGATAAAGTTTAATGTTGCAAACAATGAAACTTAAGATATTTAGAGAAAAGAAAAAATTAATTCCAAACATGTTAAGAATATAGGGACCAACTGTAAACATATTCCTGTGAAGTCTTTATGAAGACAAATCAATACTTTCTTCAATCAATTCATGAATCCATAGCTTTTATTCCCCTAACTATACTTTATGGGTTAATTAGACCCATTACGTATCAATAGTCTAATATTATCATTTATTTTTACTCTCCTTTGGCCCAAAATTTAAGCATTTTTTAATATAATTTACATACCAATAAAATTCATATCCTGATGAAAGTAGATATTATTATTTTTTATTCTTAATTTTAATTTATGATGAGTGAGAAAATGTCATAAATTCACATGCATGAGAAACTGAGTTAATAAATGTAAGGAATAAAGTGAATTTTTTTAATAATACTAAGTTATTTATATTTCGGATTAAGACTAACCTAAAGAAAATGCTTTTATATATTGAATTGGGGAAGTAATTTATAATTCCATCGGTGCAGGGGATTTTTTTTCTTTCTTTTTTTTTTGTTGGGGGGGGGGGGGGGGGATGGGGTGTGTGTGTAGGGCATTCCGCCTATTGAGCACTCCTACCGCCCGGTGGTAGGGAATTTTCTCGTTTGATATTATTAAGAAAAGAAAGTTCTCAAACTCGGAATTGAGCGCACACGAGACACAAAGGCAAGAACGAACAAATTAATGACAACGATTTCATATTTTATTCTATCAATCATTAATAGAACTAAAATAAAAACCCGGAGTACAGTAACACACTTTGCGCTGACAAAGGCTTGACTAAAATATAAGAAAAAGCAAAACACCAAACTTTGGCGACTCGCCGTTATTAATTAAGGAAACATAAAAGAAAAAACAACAGATTTCAGAACATCCACACTTGATTGTCATCATCATCTTCACGAATTAATCGCTTTCTTCAGGAAGGAACGAACTGAAAGACCACGAAACAATGTCATGGGCCTCAAACAGATCGCCTGTGGCCGCCGAGAATCCGATTCTAACCCATTCCGGCAGCACAGTCGTCAGGTCAATGGTTTGCGATAGCGACACAAACCTATTAGGTTGAGTATCAGTATAACTAATCAACACACTCAGTGTCGTGGTCCTGCATCGTATGTTATACGAGCCTTCCCTATGGAACCTCGTGGCACGAGGTTAATTGGCCAATCAGCGGTTTTCACAGACCTAAGAGAGTTAACGTCGATTCCTACGTGAGCAGCTAGAGGTTCAGGAATTGGGTCCCACTCGTTCCCGAAGCTGTCCAGTTCGACGGCCACGATCTCATTCCGGGAGGTGCTGAAGGCTATTTCTGGACCGAACACAATCCGAGATAGCCACCTGATGAGTTTGCAGGGATGTGAAGAGCGGTTTCGACCGGCACTATGAAGAAGGCCAAGCCGTCCCCGTGAAGAATAGAACCGTCGGAAGCCACCACGAAGGAGAAATTCGGTGGTGAAGTCTGCGACTTTTCCGGTGTCACTATTCCAAAGGTGGATTGGTGTTAAGTACACTGCTCGTCCAACGCTGTGTTTGGCGCATCGTGAGGTTCGCCCCTCGCTTGAAATCTCTCTTGGTGAGTAGCATAGCTCCGCCGTATGAAATGGCATCGCCTGCTAATGCTATGGGTAAATAGGTCGGGCTGGGATTCGAAAACTTGAAGCTGAAGGAAATTGATTCTGAGTTTATTTTGTGTGGAGTAGCAAGAGGAAGAAGAGGAAGATCAAAATAAGGGAAGGTTCTGGCTTCCATCTGATAGCCGCCATGCTTGTTAATTTGCTGATAATATATGTGTATTTGGGCAAGAAGGAGAGATTAATGCGGATGTATATATACAGGCCTGCTGCTGCTAATACAAAGAATGATTCTTGATAATTTCGATGAACAGATACCACCAACAATGTGTGAGTGTGTGTGCATAATATATGCTTCTAATCTTGTTTCATGTGTAGCTGTATTAACAAACAAAAAGTTACAAGAAGCTATTCCCTTTATTGAAAAAAAAATATAAAACATTTTTAAATCGAATCTTACTCTTAATAAAATTTTTACCTACTTTCAAACTAATTTATTTTTTATATTTATCCTTATGAACTATTCGATAATAAATATAAAGTCACCATCAATAGGGACACTTTGAAAAAAAGGTAATGATTATATTTGAAAGATTAAAATACCTTACATTTTAAAATATCTAACTCTTCCAAAAATACCTTACATTTTTAAATGGAGGGAATATAATAAATTGTATATTGTATATGTATACTTGGATGATAGTGATCGATAAAAAATATTTTTTTAAAAATATTATTAGGAGGGTTTAACCTTTTAATTAACCACCAATTGTGTATTCCCTTCCCATTCCCATCGTAACTGAGCTGCCTTTAGTTGCCTTATTGTGTCTCTGTTTTCTCCCGAAGAATGCATGCTATTCAAATTATTAAACGTTTGGGATCCGGGTTGCCAAAAAGAAAAAAGTCCAGTGGATTGGATTAAAATTGATAGAATTGAATAATCCCGTTTATTGAAATTGTTTGCATATGGCGTTTCGCTCTCTTTTATTATCTAATAAAAAATTAAATAACATAAATTAAAAAAATGACAGACATTCAACTCTCTCTCTCCTTTTTTTTGATAAACAAGAAAGGAACATTGAAATTGAAATCAATTTAAAAGATCATCAATGGGAGGTGAGTTGTATTAATTAATTAAAATGAAACGTGTGGCCCGAGTTTAAAGATAAGTAAAAACAAGTATAATTTCACTATCACGTCGATCCTCGACATATTTTTTTTATCCTATTTTTGCATATTTTTCTGCGTCTAATTATTAAACTCTAAACCCGTTGTCAACAAGTCTAATTCTTGTTTGTGTCGCCGAAAAACTAAGTCCGATCATGAAGCCATTTGTTAATCAAGAATATAAATGTCCAGGGAGGAAGTAAGGATTTGAGAGAGACAACTTCTGTCCTCGGTTTGGAAAATTCCATTTGTCCCCTTTGAAATTTGTATTTCATTATAAGACCATTTACATGTTGGACCAAAAGAAAAGGTCCTCTTGCATGTTTTTATGAATTATGACAAAGGGAAAATATCATTCATCACCGCTGAAACATTTAATATCAAATAATGATTATTTGATTAAAAATTTTTGTAGAATTAGGAGACTGATTTAAAAATAATTTTGCATATAAAAAGAATATAATACCCCTAATGAATCTTTGGGATTCAACCTGCATACTTTTTAACCTAAAAGTTGGCAAAAAAATCCCTAAAAAAGGATAAACACAAATAAAATTTATCTATTAATAAAAGGGTTCATTTTAAGTTTTTCAATTTGTAAGAAATTACCAAGCCAGAAATGCAAACTGTATTAATAGATGTGATTGTTAAGATCAAATTTCAAACCAAAAAATAAGCGAGAATTAAATTCAAAGACGGGGAAAAAAAAAGAATCCAACAAATAAATAAATTTTGAGTAAAAGGATTTGTTTTTCGTAACCATGAATTCATTTTTACATTTTTATTTAAAGTGTATCTTTTATTTGTTTGATACATTTTTATAATTAATTATGTATTATCATAACATTTCAAATGCATGAGAAAACATAAAATTTATGACCGAATAAATTTATCACGAAATTAATTTTGATAACTTTTTTTTAAAAAAATATATATTGAAAATTTATTCTTTTGTGGCGTGAATATATGTGATTTAAACTAATTTATGTTTTTCCCCGTTCAAAATAATTTATTGGAATAATTTGCTTTCTTTTAATCAATTAAGAAAATCTCCATAAATCATCCTATCTCAATTTTTTTTTAACAAAATCAGGCAAAATCTCCATTGATGATGTTGATTCAAAATTCAAAATTACAAGCGCATCCATAAATCATTGCAATAATTCAAATTACAAGGTCTGTTGGCCAAAAAAAAAACAACAAATTACAAGGTCATATCTAGTGAGGATTGGAGGGGGAGGAGGCAAGAGACCAATAGATTCGATATAGATTGGAAAAACGAAGAAGAAAACGAATATCCTCGTCTCCTTATATTAATTAGTCACATACTCACATTGTGGAAGGACTTTTTTTTTTAATCCCAAATCTAAATCAATTTGGGAGATGTCAATTGCATTACTTATTTTCTTTTACTTTGTTGTATGTAATTTAAAATAATTAATATGATGTTGAAATTTACTGTAGTTATAATAAGAACAATGGTGGAAATTAAGCTTTGAAATTTTATGACAAATTAAGTGATCTAACTTATTTTCTTATTTGCCTAGGATACTTCAAAGTGACTAATATTAGACTATTAACATGTGGCATGATAGGATCAGATCATGGTTAGCTTGATTTAAAATTTTAAATACATAATCAAAATCCAGGTCATCATCTTAATTATTAATTAATCTACTTTTGTGCTGCTTAAATGAGATAATGTTAGTATATGTTTTAAAATATATTTATGCTTTGAAATGAGACTTGCAAATCGCAGGTATTTTAATAATATATCATTATAAGATAACTGAAAACAAGATGACCCACCTATATATTTAATTTTTAATTATCATAAATATAATACACAAATACAATAATACATGAATAAGATATGATATGTATATGTATGTCGATACTTTATTTTTAAAAAATTGTGATACAATAATTATTAGATATATGTATGTGTGTGTATAATCATAAAAATACACTAAAAATATAATTTCAATTCAAGCAATATCGGCATATTTATAAAGTCTTTTAATAATAATAATGTCAAATATTCATTAAATATTTTTATTCTATCTATGCATAATTGACTAGTGCGGTATAGTATCAATCTTTCATCCTCCACACTATTGTCATTGGCAAAAAGATAGCTTTTTATGTTTGGTTTATTAAAAGATAATTTTGCCACCTTCAAATTCTAGCACTATCAAAATTATTTCATTCATCAAATCTAATCTTTTATTTTAAAAGCAAACCATACAAGATTTTAGGAATAAAAAGATTAAACCACAATCATTAATCATAGAGACTCATGAAAAAGTATTGATTACATATCCAAAATAATTAAAAATAATAATCTGAAAATCAAAATAGTATTGAAGTATTAATGCTTCATAGATTAGCAAATATGTTTTTGGTATATGGTAAATAATTTGAAGTAAGATATATTATTTATAAGCTATAATGTTTTGAGACTACCTGTTATAGACTTAGTATTTTATATTCATATTTATTTATCCTTATCCTAAATTATAATTTAAACTTCATCCAAAAAATTAAAATTAAAACTTATCTTTTTTTTCTTTTCACTATTTTTACTGTTCTTTTATTTTTCAAATATAGAAAATACCATAATTTAATTTTGTAACGCATAGATAAGGATAGATTATTAACATACTTAATTAACCATATCTCAAACAATTAAATTTAAAATCTACCAAAAATTAAAACTGACCAAAAACTTCTCTCAAATCGGCTATAAATTCCCACTCCACCAAGGCCATTCAACATACAGATTTGTGATCCTTCTTTTTCTCTGAGAGTTTAGTGTTAGTTTTCGTTATTGAATCGAGAAACCACAGAATAGATGGCGATTGATCTTACCCCCAGTTGGCCAAGAAAGTGTATGGAGGTGATGGTGGATCCTACCACGCCTGGTCTCCCTCTGAGCTTCCCATGTTACATCACGGCAATATCGGTGCGGGTAAACTCGCTCTTGAAAAGAATGGTTTTGCGCTTCCGAGATACTCGGACTCTTCCATGGTTGCTTACGCTCTTCAAGGTATTTGTTTTGGTTTTTCTCTTCATTTTTGATTCTTGATCGTGTAAAGCATTGTAATTGTTTGGTTTAGGAAGCTATCATGCATAAGAAGATAATTTTTTATGTTAATTATTTATGTTAGCGTCAGCTATCCTTCTTAATTATTCTTGATTCGAGAGCCATCGTGATTTTATATTGTTATAGAAATCACTTCTGTGATCTCAAATTCTTGATGTATAAAGGGGTTTGGTTTTAATCCCTTTTTTTTTTTTATCTTTGGAGAACTTAAAAATAAACTGTCTCACAATTATTCAATGCAGCCTTTGATCATGCACGATACATTGCGAATTTTGTTTATTAACAAGTGTTTCAAAGTATACTGGGTTCCGCAACACTAATTTTGTCTCTAGGGTTTCTTCCTACGAAGTCTTGGTTTTCATTGATTTGGCCATCGGGGGCGTAGACACAGTTGGAAGTTAAATGTGAATTTTGCTTTCTGAATCTGAATTTTCAGAGAAAGATCTAAGATGAATCTGAAACATAGCTTATCTGTGAATGAAAAGCCTACCTCACCTATCAAACCTGTTAGCCAGCTTTCTTGGTGTTTGTTGTCATTGATATTAATACTTTAAAGAGTGCACATATTCTTGAACTGTGTTATTAATGCTCTTGTTGATTCAGGAAATGGAGTTGTAGGAATCGTGCTGCCTGAATCAGAAGAGAAGATCCTAGCAATCAAGAAAGGCGATGCTATGGCACTTCCTTTTGGTGGTAGTGACTTGGTGGTACAACAAGGACGACACCGAGTTGGTCGTTCTTTTTCTTGGTGACACTTCAAAAGCCCACAAGGCTGGTGAATTCACCGACTTCTTTTTGACTGGTTCAAACGGAATCTTCACTGGTTTCTCTCACGAGTTTGTGGGCAGAGCTTGGGACTTGGAGGAGAAAGATGTTAAGGCCATAGTCGGAAGCCAATCAAACAAGGGCATTGTGAAGCTCGACAGCAACAGCATTAAACTTCCCGAGCCAAAGCCTGATCATCGTAAAGGCATGGCATTGAACTGTCTGGAGGCTCCATTAGATGTAGACATTAAGGATGGTGGAAGAGTGGTTGTTTTGAACACCAAGAATCTTCCTTTGGTTGGTGAGATCGGACTTGGAGCAGATCTTGTTCGGTTAGATGGAAGTGCCATGTGTTCCCTGGATTTTCATGTGACTCTGCCTTGCAAGTTACTTACATTGTTAGAGGAAGTGGTCGTGTTCAGGTTGTTGGTCCGGATGGTAAGAGAGTCTTGGAGACGACGGTAAAAGCTGGTAATTTGTTCATCGTACCTAGGTTTCATGTGGTTTCCAAGATTGCTGATGCAGATGGCTTGGAGTGGTTCTCTATCATCACTACCCCTAAGTAAAGTTTCTCTTATATATCTCTTACGCAATTGATATTCTAATGATTACGATGTTTATGGTTCTAATGATTACTCATCATGTGATACAGTCCTATATTTACTCATTTGGCTGGAAGTTCTTCGGTGTGGAAGGCTTTATCTCCTACAGTTTTGCAAGCTGGTTTCAATGTGGATTCAAAACTCGAACAACTCTTTCGTTCAAAGAGGACTTCTGATGCTATTTTCTTCCCTCCACCAAAATAGATATATAGATGATATTGTTTTTGTTTGCCAGAGGTGGAGGCAAAAATAAAGTCTAGGTTGTTCTTTCCCCTCTTTCTCTTTTTCAATGAATTCTAGTTTAGGTCGTCTGAACTATATTTCATATTTTTAATGAAATGATCATTTCATGGTTTTAATATATTTCTAGCATTATCTTACTTTTGTCTTGATATATGTCTCTTCAAAGTATAGATGATATAGTTCGAATCAACTTCTCAACTTCTTGTCTTCGTCTTGTATTTCAAAAAGTAATACACACATACATAAATTTTTAATTTTAATTTAATCTTAGCTAGATTAAATTTTCACTTTTCTAACTGAATAATGTGTTCATCGCTTGAACTATTGATGTTTTTTGACGGATTTGTCAGTATATTAATGACCTTTGCTTTGAGCTAATTCATGGTGGCTTTTTATTTGATTAAGGCCATCATTTAGCTAATGGAAGCTGATGAATTGTTGTGCATATTGAATAGTATTCGTTGATCAATCGATGCCAAATAAATCCAATGGCTAAGCGCGTTAATTAACTAGATTAAAAATATCTTTGAACTTGGATGTTTAAACTTACGGTACTAGAAAATTTGGCGAGAGATAGACATGAACAAACAAATTAATTACGACAAATATTTATTTTATTAATATAAAAAAAATTAAAATATTTGTGACCTTTGCTTTTTTAAACTAATTCCAAGTCGCCGGCTTGATCATATAACCCTGATTTAGTTATTGAAAGCTGATCGATGAATTGTTATTCATATTGAAGAGTTAAATGCTACAGCGAAGTATAAATTAATTACTTGATTGAAGAAAGTGGTAGAAAATATATGACTACATCTGATTCATATGTCCACAAACTTAACATTATATTTAAGCTCAAGGCACAAGAAATTTTGGCAAGAGATAGCATGAACAAACAGATTGATCACAACAAAAAATTACTTTGTTAATGTAACGACGAAAAATTCAGAGCGTACAAACATACACCAAGATTTAAATGATAAGAAAGACAACTAGACGTGATTCCATCAAAACACCAAGCTTAGTGCCTTGCTGATATTATTCAGGAAACATACAAATACGAAGTTTAGATTTCACGGAGAACCAGTGGCATGATCGTCTTCTTCAAGTGCTTTTTTCTTGTCGAAGGGAAGAAGAGAAAGACCAAGAAAGAATATCATGGGACTCAACCAAATCGCCAGTGGCCGCAGAGAATCCAATTCTAACCCATTCTGGTAGAACGCTCTTCAAGTCAACAATTTGCGATAGTGAAACTACCCTACCCTGCTTAGTACCATCGTAAATTATGGTCACACTGAGTTCTTTAGTCTTAGAGTCATATGAAATACGTGCCTTCCCCAAAGAACCTCGTGGTACGCTGTTGATTGGCCAATCTGCAGTTTTCACCGACCTAAGAGAGTTGACATCGATTCCTACGTGAGCAGCTAGAGATTCCTGAACAGGGTCCCACTCGTTTCCGAAGCTGTCGAGTTCAACGGCCACGACTCGATTCGGCGGTTGGGGTTGAAGGCATTTTCAGGATTGAACAATCCAAGATAGCCACCGGATGAATTTACAGGGATGTGAAGGGCGGATTCCACCGGCGATATGAAGAAGACCAAGCCGTCGCCGTGAAGAAGTGGTCCGCCGGAATCCACGACGAACGTGAACTCGGTGGTGAAGTCTGCAACATTTCCGGTGTATCTATCCCATAGGTGGATTGGTGTGAAGTACACTGCTCGGCCGACGCTGTTTTTGCGGATGACGACTTCCCCTCCGACCTGATCTCTTCTTGTGAGGAGGATAGCCCCGCCGTATGAAATCGCGTCACCGACTAAAGCTACAGGTAATCCTGGCTCGAAAAAGTCGAAACTGAAGGAAAATGATTCTGAGTTGATTTTATGGAGTAGCAAGAGGAGAAGACGAAGATAGTAACAGAAGCTGGTTTTGGGTTACACATAGCCATGTTTGATTGACGATGAATTTGTATGGTTGGACCAGAAGGGGCTTCTTGCGGCTATATATGTATAGGCTTCTTGGCCGGCTGGCGTGTGTGTGTGTGAGAGAGAGAGAAAGAGTATTATAATAAATTGTCAGGATGAGTTGTGTGCCAGCTTGTTGGATTGCAACAAGGGGGGAAAGTACGGATACGAACAAAAACTAACGAACAAAACTGCAAAAGATCATAGATAATTTCGATGTCTAGATACGGCTCCTTCAATTTCATAAACGCTGAATTTCATGTCAGCAACCTTAATTTGTTCAGAGTGCAGCGAATACTAATATATATTGCAATTTGGAAAATATGGAATATTGTGTGTGTGTGTGTAGAAAAGTATGGGGGCAGAAAAATCCACTTTGACAACATTACTAGAAAGGGTCATGATGACCACTTAAAAACGATGCAATTTTGCGCGTGACGTTTAACTTCTGTTGGTTGTTAATTGAAACATTTTAACTAGGGTTGAAGTGTAATTTTTGTCCAAAATTTTCTCTGAAGTAACATTTACTATCCTATATAAATTTCGAATAATGAATATTTTGAGTTATAATTATTCAAATAAAAAAAATCTAACAACTCATTATCAATATTAAAAAATTGTGTGTATTTTTAGATTTTGACTAGAGGCCTTACCCAAAATTCCTTGGTTTCAAAACTAACTCTACCTTTGAGTGCTCAATAACTTACCCTTCCAGATTTGCCCTTATTTTACCTAGCTATGTACAAGTCTAAATATGTGTCCATGAAAGAATAACACACACTCATCACACTCACACACATCCATCCCTTCACCACATGGGGAGTAGTACATAACCCACAACCTCTCTCTTTGGGCGTGGGGTGCATTAACCCAAGAGACTCTCGACATATATATGACAACTACTTATAAATTTTATAAAAGCCTATTCAATTTACTATTGGATATTAAATATGAGCACCTCTCTCTCAATGAAGATTTGAACCTTGATTTGCCAAATTGTAAGAGACTAGTCCCTTCCACTTACCCAACCTCATTGGTTTGTGTTAGCAACTTTAGGTTCTTTAGGGTAAAGTGCACTTAGCAAATATATATGAAAAAAAATAAAGGATTAATGGGCAAATAGAACTTTAGACTATTGCTTGAAAATCATCCTAAACCCTGAACTTTTAAAATATGCAAAATAAATCTTAATTGTTAATTTTTTTAACACTATTACTATCCACACGAGTACTGTAACAATCAGGGTTAAATTTGTAAAAAAATAAACTCTGAACAATACCTATGTGAACAGAAACGATATTAAAAAGTTAACAATCATGAATTATTTTGCTATGAATTTAAAAGTTTAAGGTTTTTCTTGTATATTTTAAAAATTCAGGATCCAAGAAAATTTTTGAACAATAGTTTAGGATCTTATTTGCTCATTAACCCAAAAATAAAACATTATATAAACATTTAAAATTATAAACTTGATTTTAAGATATGAAAACATAAAAAATATAGTTTTACCAATGATTTGATTTTAAAATATTTTGATGATGTTAATTTTAATAATATTTTTTCCTTCAACTTATTTTCTCTTCTTTCCATTTTTCCAACCCAACTTTTTTCCCTATAATTTCAAGAAGTGAAGTTCATGAATTGATTTTTAATATTAATTTTCTCAATAATTATTATTAAAAGCACCCAAAATAGGTTGAGAATAGAGGTATTCAGTTTCAACTTTTAAGTTGCGTAGAGTTGTACTAAATTTTTATTATAAATTCAAATGATAACTATTAAAAATTTTATATTCCCTCCATTAAAAAATATAAAATATTTTTAATCTGTCAAGTATAATCATTTCCTTTTTTTAAGTACTAAATTAAATAAATTATTTTATATTTATTTAAAGGTGAAACACCCTGTTAAATATGGGTAAATATAAAAAGATAAAGTTACTTTGAAAACAAGTAACTACTTTATTAGAGATGAGATTTAGTTAAACATGCATTATATTTTTAAATGAAGGGAGTAAATCTCTATTATAAATGCATGCAAAATCAATTCATGACAACAAAATACTGCAATAAAAATATTTTAACATTTTAATAAAAAGAGAATTTATGAAACTCAATTTAATTCTAATTTAAATTAAGAAATATATAATTTTTAATGAAATTTTAAATATAGTAATATCTTTTAAAGGCTCTCAAATATTTTTTCCCTTTAAAATAATCTTATTATAAAAAATTAAATATTTAATTTTTCTACTTACATCATCACGCTAAATTTTTTTAATCTATGCAGTCCTCCTAAAATTTAAAAAATTATTCATTTGTAGGTAAATATTTTTATTAAAATATTAAAAATTATGAATTTTATTTTATTTTTCAATTTCTTAAGTAAAAAATTTTACATGTTCACTTTGAATATATTAATTATAATTCTTTATCTTAATATTAGATGTAAATTATGTTTTAACGTAAAAAGTAAAGAAATTGTAGGCCAGGTTATCTTAAAGTAAAAAAAAACCTGTAATGAAAGTTTAAAAATTAAATTGAAAAATTAAGGAACATTGTTTTTTCCGTAAAATATGTTATGATTTTATAACATATTTTTTTAGGAATATGATTTTATAATATATATATATATATATATATATCACATATTTGTATATTTATTTGAAATATATTATATTAGATTGAATAATTATATATCTACTATTCCATAATGCCTCAACCAACAAATTTAGTCATCATGGTAAATATTTGGGAATTTAATTTGAAGTTATTGAGTTTGAGACATGCCATTGGTTTGACATGCGTGATTGTACTATATCAAATTCAATTTTTCTCGCATCATCATTTTTTGCATCCTCTCCACCATCATCATTATTCCCCTTTTGTCAGGGATGAGTTGGAATCAAACATTTCCTTCTCTTTCTCTATGCTATATCTTCTTCTTATTCACAACAGCAACAAAGGTAGAGTAGAGTTTAGATTAAAAGATATTCAACTACCAAGAATTAGTGATGGTTGGTGGAAGAATCCACAGGATTGATAAAAATTGAACATGAAAGAATATCATAAAAGAGGAAACAAACATAATACGAGTTTCATAAGGAAAGAGAACTACCAAAAATTTTTCTTTAAAATTTGATACATTTGAAATAGTTTATCAAAATGAACAAATATCCATATATTTTTCTTGCATTTTTGGTCATCAATTTTTTTTTTTAAAATAACATGAACATAAGTACTACAAACTTCCTTAGATCTAATCTCATCAACCTGTAAGATATGAAATGAGTGCTAATACCAATTAATTTGACACGAGCTTTGGTACAAGGTTCTAATACTAATTGATTATAGAGGAGCTCTAATATCAGGGTCTGATACCAACTAATGTGCAACAAGCTTTAATACAAATTGATGTGAATGGAATTTAATAACAATGGATGTGAAATAGGAAGTGAAAAGGGAAAGAGAGTAAATGAGAAAGGAAAATAAGGAAGAAAAAAGAAATTGATGTCTCCACATTGAAGTTCTTAATAAGGATATTTAATAAGAGATAAATGAAGATATTGATATCCATACACACATTTTTATTAAAAAATAGAGTGAGTGAAATGGTATTGAAAGAAAAACATTAATCCCTCATTATTAGTTGTAGAGTATTTAGGTGTTATATATTGTAGCTCTCCCCCTATAAGCACAAGAAAATAGTTAATAAATAGATTAACTATAATTATTAAAAATGATACTATAATGAGTATCATAAAATGGTTGAAAATTTTTCTCTTAACGACCTTCTAAAAATCATACACAATCATTATAGATATTATTACTATTAAATGTAATGCGCCCACTTTGTAAAACTAGGGCATTGTTGCATCATTGTTTATCCAAAATATTGCATAAATCATTAAAGAAGTGCCCCGGGGAAGATGAGAAGGAACACGGCCATTTGAAGTACAGTTAAAGAAGCATAAATCAATAAACCCTTACTTATATTGGTAATTCAATAAAAAAGATAATAATTAGAAAATGTATTCATATGAAGGATGTTATAATATTATTAAAAAAATAATAACATGAAAATTTGCAAGAAAAAAATCATAAAATACCACGAAGCATATTCTCCATCACCACCCAAAGTATTACAAGACATATGATATTAGAACAATAGAAGAGAACATTAGTAATTAAAATAAAAAATTTATATAAACATGTACTAATTATTAAGCCCTATTTAAAATTATATTTATCATGCTGATTCAATTTATTAAACTAATATATATAAATAAGTTTTGAAGATATGAAATCATTAGGGGATAAAATTAATTTCACATATATAAAATCAGTGACAATATTTTTTTAAAATTTAATACATCTGAAGTAGACTATTAAAAAGAATCAATATTAATATATTTTTCTCTATTGTAGGTTGTCAAACCTAAAAAATAACATGAATATAAGTATCATAAACACCGTCAGATCTAATCTCATGAACTTGTAAGATGTAAAACAGGTTCGGATATCAATTAATTCAAAACGAGCTTTAATACAAAGCTCTGATACCAATTAATGTGAAACATGCTTTAATACCAATTGATGTGAAATGAAATCTAATAACAATGAATGCAGAATGAGAAGCAAAAAGGGAATGATCAAGGAGAAAGAGAAAGGAAAATGAGAGAAAAAATAGGGAGTTATTGTTTTCACTTTAAATCCTTAGTAAGGATACCTAATAAGAAAAAAATAAATGGTACTAAAAAAAATATTAATCTCTCGTCATCACTTATAGGCTAGTTGGGCATTATAAATTGTATCTCTTCCTTATGAGCACAACAAATAATGGGGGCGTTGTTGTATCATTATTGATCCAAAATATTACATAAATCATTATAATCTATCTTGCTTGATAATGACAATAATAATTTATCATCATAGATTGTGGTGTAACAAAATCATAATAGAACATAA